CTGAATCACCAAAGGAAAATAAATTCGGTGAATATCATGCTGCTTAGAGTGTTGGAAAAGATCAAAAAATCTAGTTGTTCTTTGCACCATGGCCCATGGGTCCCTTTGACTCATAATTTTGTTGATCAACTTCAATCTCAAATTCTTCATCAGTAGCCAGAGCTATTTCACCATGTTGTGTAGTTTTCTTCAAAAGCGTAGAATATCTGGTTGTTCATCACACCATGCACCCCATTATCTCATAATCTTGTTAGAATTGTCTATTTCTTCAACAGCTATACCATTAGACCTATATGCAATTTGCTTTGAGTGGCCTTCAATTCCAAACTCAAATTCCTCACCAGTAGCCACAGGTGTTTCGCTATGTTTCAATGATCTACCTAAAAAAAACTCTTAAGAAATGGTTTCCTTACATAATTGGTGGCATCGTGTCGCATGGTTGTTTGGAACAGTTTAGGACACCTGGTTTCTCATTGTGCATTATATTTATTGGATTCATAGTCGTGTTGATGACATTTACTTCTTTGACAACTCTATCATCAGCTCTAAGTGCACTTTCCTTTGGTTCTTGGGGGGCCTCAAGGATGGGGTGTCATCCTTTTTTTAAGTACACTTTCTTTGGAGTTTCCATCAGTTTTAAACTCCAATTCCTCATCAGTGGCCAGGAATGAGTCAGCATGTTTGAGTGTACTGCGTAAAAAGCAATTCTGGAGAAAGAGGGTTTTCTTACATCGAAATTGTCAATAAGTTCAATGGAATTACTTGTCTGTAAGATGTACATAAACAAAAATGATCATTGTCCAAATAAGAGTCTCCAGGAGAGAACATATTATGGATCCATCAGTGACTACTGCACTGACCGCTTGATATCTCTCTGCAATGGGAAGGAGATGTATCACTTGCTTGATCTGGATGATCAGTTTGACAAACAAATCCACAATCAGTGTTGAGCTTTTCGGAAACAAATACATTGAAATTTGCAGGTGAAGATGGAATCTGTCTACTGGCAATGGAATTATTGAACTCTTCAACTAGCTTATTTGACTTTTGAGGAGTCCCTTCAGGTAGCAGACAATTCAACATCTCTTTTTCCCCATCTCACAATCCACAGGAAAATCTGAAAAGATACAAGAGAAGAGTGTCAGGAGACCAAATATTAATAATCTTTGGTCCAAAATAAAACAAAAAAAGGTTGTGAGTCAAGTATCCCCACCTTGGGTTGGATGCTGATATGATGCCAAAAAAAGAGGTCGAACTCCCAAAGACGTCCAACAACATCCCAGATGAAAGCAAGGACAGAATCCCAATCCTTCAATACATGGGAAAAATTGCTTATTTTATTGAATTAAAAATGGACCAATAGTGGTAATTAGGAAATATTCAGGTTTGAAGATATCACCATGTAATAAAAAAAAGATGTATTTTACTTTTGGCAACTCAACTACAATGGGCATGTAATACAAAGGTGGGATTATTCTTTATAGGCTAAAACTTTATGCTAGTGAAAGCTTTTGGTGAAAGGTGGCAACTCTTTATTTATAAAGATTCATAAAGATGTTTTCTATTCTCTATAGCCAACCTAACAAAATATTTCTCCTCACACATTTTAGGCTAAAACAAGAAACACTATTATAGTTGAGTGACGAAATTTTGGGCTTAGATGATAGCCCACGAGATGCAATGGAAAAAGTAGATGCTTAATAACTTGTGATCCTTCACAATCATATCATCTACTAGCAGAGACTAGAAACATCATATTAACTTGTGATGATTGGCAAAAAAGAATGACCACTTGATGGTTCAAGTCAACCATCAGGAAAATCTGCTACCTTACATACAATCTTGGAAACCAAGCAACGAAAAGAACAGGAAGACGCACTCTGTAGAAGCAAGCAATATAATTATGTCCCATTCCCAACAATAAATCAATCATACCCAAACCCAACTAACGCAAGCAACTGTGTCCCACTTATATCAAGATTTTATCTTGACAAATCTACTTTGCCAATAACTTAAGATAGCATCCATCATAACGTTAAAATAAAAAAACACCTCATCTTTATCTTCATCAAAGTATTTGTTTCTCTGTGCCAACTACTATTCAAGATAAATAAGCTCAAATCCCATTTCTACTTCGTGTTTTTCTTTACTGAGAGCATGTTCAAACCTATGTTATCACATCATAATCGGTTCGGGTGAGTTCACCCGGATTTTCAGGACGGTTATATAGACCCGTACATCAGCTCAAACCCAGTGGAACCCAATTACCTGCTTCAAACCAAGTCGGAACATCGGCCCAGTTGGTAGAGAACTAATATTCAACCTAATAGTGTACATAGAAGAACAATGTTGGATTTCTCCATTATATTCAACAATTTGATGTATTCTAACATGGATTTCATAAAGATGACATATATAATATATTTGATGTGTTGTCATTTTATTATATTTTTCCTTAGTTGTGTTTCACTGTTGGGGTATTTGCAAACTTAAAATTAAAATGTCTGTCACTTGAATTCTTAGCATTTAGTATACTCTTTCTTGTATTTTTATCAACACCTCTTGTGAACTGATCGGTATTAAGACATTTATTAATTGCAAAATTTGTCCAGTTTTTTAGCATTAGTTTGACATTGTACAGTACCGTTTTGTACCGTTCCAAAACCGGATCGCACCGACCCGTTAGAAATATCACGGGTACATTGCATGTTTTGTACCCTCCCTGAATGTTTTTATTCTCCAAGTAAGAGTAATTAATGTCGTGTTTTTAGCATTATAGACTTTAAATATGACGGTATTTTGTGCATTCTATCATAATATTAAGATAAGATATTTGAAAATTATTAAATTTATTCTTTGAGACGGTTTTGTGCATGATGAATCATAACACATGATGATTTGATGCATTTTCGTAACATAAGTTAAGAAAATGATGATATTAATTTGAATAAATGTTTTATTGACATATAAATATAAGTACTACATTTGTCTGATATTGGATATCCTGTTTAATTTGACAATATTATTAATAAAGTGGTTAAAAAGTAAGAATTGTGTTTTAGTTGAATAAAGTAAACTGACAAGGACCTTTCTTGCTGAAAAGTGAAACATGATACTCATTTCTGGACAACTCAAAAAGGAAAGTAGGACAACCAAAACGAGACATATTGAGTATTATCTCACTCAACATTGCCAAATTTATGTTGAGTGGGAAAATTAGAAAGGTAAAAATCGTGTGGGTAATGTTTGTGAAAAGGAGGGAGAAATGAACAATCACAAATACATTGCTTTAAAAAGTAAATGACAATTTTTTTAGAACAAACGAAAAAAGAAAGTTGACAAAGTACAATAGGACGTGAAGTATACATTATTAAACTTAAATAAAAAGAAGCATGCTCAAATCGTAAATAAATAAATAAAGAGAGAATTTCCCAAATGGGACTAAGGATGTTTTTACTTGGACTGTAATATGTCCTAGACCAGACTAGACCAGATAAGACTAGAACAGACCAGACCAGACCAACAAATAACAGTCCAAGTAAAAACATCCTAATACATAGTAGATGTGCATAAATAGGATATTAAGTTTATTATTCCCTAAATACAACTCTTAATAACTGATTAGACAAAATCAGCCTTAATGAAGTTTCAGGTCCTAATTTCCTGGGAACTAACGGACGACATCTACATACTACGATGCCTTCACCAACCGCCGCCAACCTCCTACATCAACCTGCGTGAGTTTGGAGCCACTTTCGTGTGGCGAGCCGACACCATCCTCCGAAGAGCCGCCGGAGCCCCCGCCGCCCTCTCAACGGTCTCTTGTCGATCTCCAGGGAGAATGTCATGTTGATAAAATAATGACATATTAATGACATTTTTATGTAGAAATATGACATTTTCAGTTGTGAAAACATGTATTTTTAAGATGAAACGTAAATGCAATTTCAGGCCAAAGATTATGGCATTTTTGTTAGAAATTATGTGAATATCATTTTAAAATTAAAAATATTAAACAATGAAAAATCAGAAATAGTATTGCCTTCTTTATACATTCAGTGTTATAAAAATAACATAATCCGGCAAAAGCTCAAAAACATGTCATTTACTGTACTTTCAATTTTTTTTGAAGATACTGTACTTTCAAATTAAAATTGTCATCTTGATATAATGTAATGGCATAAATTTGGCATTATATCTAACAGACAATATTTATGGTATTTTCAAAAACAAAAGTTAATCAAATTTACTCCCTATGTTAAAAAAAACTTCTCACATTGACTTGGCACGCATATTAAGAAAATGAGAACAAAGTGAAAATGTATGGTGTAGTTGTGTAAGAAAACACTAAAATGAATGTGAGCCACACAAATTTTCCAAAAATGATAAGTGGAAAGATTTTTTGGGACGATCCAAAAATGAAAGTTGGAAGAATTTTATGAGATGGAGTGATAAAATTTAAAATCCAAATATTTCCAATCATTGGTGCTTCTTCGAAACATCGGTTTTCAATGGAAAGTTTTGGATTCACAATAATATTTTGATTTTTAATACAAAACGAAAATTGAAAATAGAAGAATAGAGAAAATCTAGAAGTAGATGATTAGAAGAATTGAAGAAGGAAGACGATGATGAATCAATTACATGATATGGATAATCGACGAAGAGAGGTGATGAGAAATCGACGAAGAAAGGCAGCAGCAATGTAAAACTAGAGAGGCGAGGGCGGCGGGGCTGTATAAGAGATATGAGAGAATAAGAATGTATTGATTGATGATTGAGTTGTAGATTACATTCGTATATAAATACATGTATCCAGCGAGAGATAGATAGCAAAGGGATAAGATCTCTCAACTACTGATGCTAAACCTATGGACGTATAATAGTTATCCATGGACCATGTTTTGCTTAGCTGTCCATTTAGTTGGGACATTTGGAGGTATTTTCTTGGAATCTTTGAAATTCCTATCCTCTCTAATCATATTACTTTGAGGCAAATGCTAATTGCTTGGTGGCTAGAGGCGGGATCTAAAACTTTATTGGATGTCTTTAAGCATAATATGGCAGGAATTATATCTTGGCACTTATGGAAAATATACTGTAAGATTCGATGGGGTGATTTGATGGATATTCCTACTTCTCAGGCTGTTATTCATTATATTAAATCTTATACACAGCAATGGTCGGAGGCATCTTTGAATAAACTCAGATTAGGCAATCCCAGTTCACTTTTTTTTGAGGAACGGTTACTACCTAGTTCGTTTAGATCCATCAGACCACGAATTCGAGCTATTAAATGGAGTTTACCTTCACTAGATTTCAAGATGAATATTGATGCGGCGTTCAGTCCGGTTCAGGCGGCAGGAGGAGCTGTGATTCGATCCCGAGCAGGAGATTTTGAAGTTGCTTTGCACTTTCCCATTTCAGCCTCTTCGGCTATGGAGGCTGAGCTTGTTGTGGCTCACTACTCTGTGTCCTGGGCGATTGAGAAGGGATATCGGAAATTTGAGATTGAGATGGACTCCAAGCTTGTGATTGATGCTATTCTGGGTGACGATTTGGAGGGGAGATGGAAGAGGGTGATTCACGACCTAAGAAGATGGATGGTTGGAAATCATTTATCTTTCAGACATGTTTTACGGGAGATAAACTGGCCTGCGCATTATCTTTCCAAATTAAATTTGGCTGATCAGACAACATTTAACGACATCAGGTGTTTTCCTAATTATATCAGACGTGTGATTATTGCTGATAAATTGGGTCTGAGCTACTTTAGATTTGGTTAATTTTTTCAGTTCTGTTTTGGCTTTTTCAGATTTGTTTCTGTAATCAAATTCATTATTAATAAAATATCGGCAACTGACTCACGGCATTTGCCCCACTGATTTTGGTGGTTTGCCTTCCGGGATAAAAAAAAAGTTATCATAACTGATTTGTACATCATGTATCGGATAAGTATACAAATAATATATAAAATAATATAATTAATTATGTGCTAATACGCCCCTGCAAGATAGAGGTTCCATTGGAAACTCCTAGACCGGAAACGAGTAAAGAGCTCCTTGCCCAAAGGCTTGGTGAGAATGTCTGCTATTTTCAACTTTGTACAAATATGATGTATACTGAGTTTACCTTGCTCAACAAGCTCACGAACAAAAAAATAATCAAGAGCAAGATGCTTCATACGAGAGTGAAAAACCGGATTAACACACACATATGTAGCACCTTGGTTGTCCCAAAAAAGTTGAGGCGTAGATGGTAAGGTATTACCCAGTTCAAATAACAAATGATGAATCCAAAGAAGTTCAGCACTAGCATGGGCAACTGCTCTATATTCCGCCTTTGTAGAAGATCTGGAAACGGTCTTCTGTTTGACGGACTTCCAAGAAATGATATTTGAACCCGAATATATTACATAAGCAGTGGTGGATCTCCCACCGTCATGTACCCCTCCCCAATCAGAATCAGAAAACACGGAACTAGTCATAGGAGATGACCGGTTGAGAAATAGACCGAAATCAAGTGTGCCTTTTAGATATCGCAGGATGCGTTTGACTCCTTGCCAATGAACATCCGTAGGTGCATGCATAAATTGAGCAAGTCGGTTGACCGAAAACGAAATGTCAGGACGAGTGAATGCTAAATATTGTAAAAGCCCAATAGCACGACGATACTGACTGGCATCGGCAGAAACATGACCATCAGTAATGTGTAAAGATGAATTTGATGACATGAAAGTAGGTGCCTCACGTGCTTCATGCATGTTACAAGTCTCAAGAATATGTAACGTGTACTGCCTTTGAGATAAAAATAGGTCATCAGGATGTGGAATAACTTCCATGCCAAGAAAATGATTTAGCATCCCCAGATCTTTAACAGAGAACCGTGAGGTGAGTTGTCTGATAAAGGCTTCAACTGCACTCGACTGATTTCCTGTAGGGATAATGTCATCTACATATACAAGAAAATAGATGAGAATATCTTGATGTGAGTAAATATATAAAGAGGCATCGGCTCTAGATTTTTTAAAGCCCACAGAGAGAAGAAATCTGGAGAGTTCAAGGTACTAGGCAGGAGGTGCCTGTTTAAGTCCATAGAGTGCCTTATTGAGTTTGCACAGATAAGTAGGATGATGTGGATCATGAAATCCGGGAGGCTGAGTCATATACATTTCCTCTGTTAGTGTCCCATGAAGGAAAGCATTATTCACGTCTAGTTGTCGGAGCTGCCATTTGCTAGATAGAGCAATAGATAAAATAAGCCGAATAGTAACAGGTTTGGTAACGGGATTGAAGGTTTCTGAGTAGTCCCGCCCAGGTTGTTGAAGAAAACCACGCGCAACTAGTAGAGCTTTGAACCTGGCAATACTACCATCAGCATGCCGTTTGATACGATACAACCATTTACAAGTAATCGGTTGATGAGAGGAACGTGGAACAAGTGTCCATGTATATTGTTTTGTTGTAAAGCACTCATTTCTTCTTGCATGGCTGTGGTCCATTTCGGATCAGATAAGGTCTGTTTTACACTCACTGGTTCAAGGGTGGGGGTATGGGATGACATGTGGCAATATTAACAAATGAGTCACCAAAATACTTGGGGTTAGGTATCCTTTGACGAGGGGGTCGGGTTGTATGTGTAACGTTAGTTGGTTGGGACATATGGGAGGTGGTGGCTTTATTAGTGGTATGAGGTGAATTAATGGGTGGAGAAGATGAGGTGGATTTATGAGGTGTGGTGGGTGGATTGTGATGGGATGGGGGGATGGAGGTAAAAGGGGGGGAGTGGAATTTGGACCAAATGTAGGTGGAGTGGCCGATAATGGGACTTCAATATTAGGAGGGGGTGAGATAATGGTATCCAGATGAGTTGGGGACCGCATGCATGCAGACTGCCCATGCAGTGATTCAGCGAGGGGAGTACCACCATCACGAAATGGAAAGATGTTTAGGGCAAATTTGACATGGCGGCTGACATAAAGCTGCTGAGTAGGTATATGATCGAAGGCAGAGATAGGCAGATTGAGATAAAGAATAGCTTACGAATACATAAGGCTGAGACCTAGGTTGAGTTTTTGTGGAATTATAGGGACAAAGCCAAGGGTAACATAGGCACCCAAATGGGCAAAGCTTGGCGTAGTTAGGAAAACGATGAAATAACCGAGAAAAAGGTGTGTCATTATTCAAGACCGGGGTCGGTAGACGGTTGATAAGATAGACAGCAGTAACAAAGGCATAGGAGCAATATGACATGGGTAAACCTGAATAATGGAGTGGTGCAAGGCCGGTATCAACAATGTGACGATGCCGGTGTTCTACCAGACCATTACGTTCAGGAGTATGTGGGGGGGGGGGGGTAAAATGCGAAATACCATTGGCATTAAGATAAGCTCGAAGTTTTAAGTATTCACCACCATTGTTAGAAAATGTAGATATGATTTTATTATCAAAGAATTTTTCAACAAGGTGATGAAACTTGGGAAACACAGTCATGACGTCGGAGTTATGTTTAAGAGGATAGAACCAAATATATCGTGTGTAGTAATCAACAAATATAACATAGTAGCGATAGCCATCAATAGATAAGGTGGATGTACTCCATACATCGGAGTAAATAAGTTCAAGTGGTCTGGAGGCATGCATGGTATTTGTAAAGAATGGAAGTTTGGTACTTTTATTAATGGCACATGACATACAATGGTGATCACTAGAAAGAGTACACACGATATCTCATTTATTTTGACGAACTAGAAAATTAAAAACATGATTAGACGGATGACCCAAACTGTGATGCCAAGTGGATGAGACAGATGCTTGAGAGACATTGGCTTGAGGTGATAAATGTGATGGTGCATAGTAAATATCATGAACGTTCTCCCCTCGAAGAAGAGGCGCCCCCGTGACTCGATCCTTTACCAAAAAATGAGAAGAAAATAAAGCAATGGAGACATTGTTAGTTTTGCATAGTTTAGCAACAGAAACAAGATTTTTGTGTAAACCAGGAACACATAAAATATTAGAAAGAGAGAGGTGACGGGTTGGTGTAGGGATAGAGGTTGAACCAGTGTGTGTAGTAGACAAAGACTTACCATCCCCGAGACGAACCTCATCGGGTCCACCATATTCAGCATATGTGGGCAGAGCAGTAGGGTCAGATGTAATATGGTGGGATGCTCCTGAGTCAAATAGCCAACGTTGACTAGTAGGATTTGTGGTGGCCTCGGTCATATGAGCCACTGGAGACGGGTTTCCAGAAGAGTAGGAAATCTGATTTTCACGAAGAAAGCGCTGCAGCTTTCTACATTGCTTGACCACGAGACCAGGAATCTCACAAAATCGGCAAATCATTGTTGTTTCTGTAGAATTCCCGGGGCCAGTGGGATATCCACCATGACCACGACGAGCGGGCAGTCCACGACGCTCAGTGCCAGATGAATTCCTGCGATCACCGCGATAAGAATTGCCAGAAGGGTAACGAGTGGGTCCCTGGGTGACATGTGATGTGGGCAGAAGCAATTGAGTGTTGTTTGCCTCTTCATTAGTACGGGTTTCATACTCTAATAAAATTTCCTGAAGCTCAGCTACTGTTAGGGCCTTCGGACGGACCCTAATAGCCCATGTAAGCTCTCTGTAATCTGGACCAAGTCCATTAAGGATGTTGATTACAAGATCTTCATCAGAAACGGGACTTTGCGCTAAAGCCAATGCTTCAGAAAGGGCGTACATTTCAGCCAGATATTCCATAATGGAACGGGAGCCCTTACAAGTGCGTGAAAGAACGGTCTTGAGAGCTATTATGCGGCCACAAGATATACTTGCATAAGTGAGTGCAAGTTTATCCCGGGCATGCTTGGCCGAGGCAGCAGAAGAGATAATGGGCTGAATGGTCTCAGAACAGCTACCAAGCAACGCACTGAGAATGGTGCGATCTTGACGATACCAAATAGAAGAATAGCAAGGGTTGAGAGTGGTTCGGGCAGCATCTGTGTATAGATCCGGTGCAGAAACAGAGCCGTCAACGTACCCTTCTAGGCCGAGACCCACCAGGGCAGAAAAGACCTGACACTTCCAAACAGGGAAATTGGAAGTACTGAGTTTGATAGGGAAATTCACTGTGGCTGTGAGCGGAATCACCTGTGTATCGGGAGTGATGATGACAGCCATGGTGACCGGAAAAAATTTTGATATCTCGTTAGAGTTTGGCTCTTGATACGATATAAGAGATATGAGAGAATAAGAATGTATTGATTGATGATTGAGTTGTAGATTACATTCGTATATAAATACATGTATCCAGCGAGAGAGAGATAGCAAAGGGATAAGATCTCTCAACTACTGATGCTAAACCTATGGACGTATAATAGTTATCATAGCTGATCTGTACATCATGTATCAGATAAGTATACAAATAATATATAAAATAATATAATTAATTATGTGCTAATAGGCTGGAGGTAAACCCGACGAAGACTGACAAGCAATCGAGGACGGTGGAGGATAAAATAGCGAAGAACTCGCAGAGGGGAGATGCTCGATCTCGTGCTGCTCTTCAATAGCCGATGATGGAAGAGTGGGATTGTAATCAGGATTGGAACTTTAATTATACTAGTTTTTGTAACGCGCGATGCCCGATTGGGATAATGCCCAATATATTTTATGCAACATAAATCTATAGTTATATGATTATAATCCATATGGTATCTACAAGAAGATAAAAAAAAGGTGGAAATTAAAAATTCTATTAGCTTAGGGCCTCAAAGCCAAAAAGGATGGATGTTAGTACAATACATTTAGTAAAACAATGCATAAATTGTACTGAATCCGTAAATGAGGATATCCATTAGCAAGGAGCAAGATGTATAAGCATCAATG